TAACAGGTAGCAAGGTTGGTGAAAGGTACTGATTCCTAGGATATTCCTCTCTCCTTCGGAGATGAAACTTCCTTTCAGGATGAGACGCAAGAAGTTTCCTATCACAGTAGCTTTTGCAATGACTATAAACAAAATCCAAGGACAGACACTCGAAAAGGTTGGTTTGTATCTTCCAAGGCCGGTATTTACTCATGGGCAACTCTATGTCGCTGTATCGAGGGTTACATCCAGAGAAGGTTTGAAGATATTGATCACCGATAAAGAAAACAAACCACAAAACAAAACATTGAATGTCGTCTACAAGGAGATTTTTGACAAGATATGATAGTTATTTTTACTGTGTTTTGTTTTGTGGTTTGTTGTCTCTATGTATCTCGAAATATGTTAGTTCTTTTTATTATATAAGACTATTATGTTCGGTTTTATAGTTTTTAATAGATTTGATGTTTTTCGATTTTTCACTAAGTTGGATCTGATGTATTAATGGTTTGATCTCTGACGTTTAACTGTAGTCGGATATTCCAATGACAAACTCAATTCGATAACATATTTTAACGAAACTTAAATTGTAGCATATTATTAGGCATCTATTGACATTTCATATGATGAACATTGTCACGTAGTTGTAAATATCGAGAATGCTCCAAAACCAAATTATCATGTCATCGAAATAAACTTAATAGTTGTTAGAAAATAAAACCAAGTACATACTGTCTTTAAAGTGGTCATTGCAAACAGGAAAAAAAACATGAAATTGATTTGAAACTGATATGGTTCTTGATTAAACTCCAGACCTCCTCTTTTTACGTTCGTTCTCATCTCCCTTTAAGCACAGACACAAATAATCCAATTTAGAATTTTGTAAAATTATATAGCTTTAGACTAACTCAATATTATATTTAAACATGAATTGTTTCTAAAACATAGAGTTCAATGGGCAATCAATAACAAAATATAATGACTCAATAACATAGATTTTAGACAATTTTTCATTATTAATCTAAATATATTTCTGATTAGGTACCCATTCGGCGGTATCCATGTGTCGAATTTCTGTCTCCACAAAACCGCAACGCATGCACTTCAACCCTATCTCCAGATCTAGAATCAGGTCGTGTTTTCGTTTTGTGCAACTTGATTGGGGTGTCTCATTAGATGTGTTGCCTTTGTCATCTTCCATAAGTAGAATATACAGATTTTACAATTCATTGTGTAAGACATGATTAAAATAAACTTTAGTGAATAGGATGTATTACCTGAGGAGTGTTCTGTTTGGCTTTCTGATTTGATGCGGTGAATAAATGTAATTGTTCCCATAATTCTTCTTGCTCTATCTCGGAATCTGTTGGTGAAGGTGGTGACTTAGGTTCCACGACACCGAATCTCATTACCAATGGTGAGGGATTGATGATCAACAAGCCATTTTTATCGAATTTTTTTCGTTTGTGTTCGCCATGTTTTTATGAATGCTCTCAGAAACGATAAGGCTACTTATAAAATATTTTAAAGTTTTTTGAAAATAAACCCTCAAGTCAGTATTTATAAGGTGTGCAATAATAATCAATTTTCACATTTTTCAATTTCTTTATGGGGAAGATTATGCGACTTTATGTTTGCACCTAACCGTTTGACTTTCCAGGTTTCCTGTTTCATAAAATTTTAAGAAAAATTGCTCAAGTAGATACATAAAGTTATAACATATAAGTCTACATAAATGTCATTTTTGTTATGATGTTGTATGAATATATCATTTCCTAAAATATTGAAACATAAAATTGTCCAAATAACATAAGCTATAGAGAGAGATCATATTATTTTATGGAAAGTATTGCAATTTAGCAAAGTTTTATAATTAATAAAATAGTATATTTACTTATTGAGATTGCGTGTATCTTTGGTGAAACTTAAAACATGGAATATATTCTCTCTGGCACGTGAAACGAACAAATCGGTCAATATCAATATGGAAATGTCTTGACATAAATTAGTGAATTGTTGTTGGTTTTGACAATAAGGGGCTTTAAATGGTAGCTGTTCAAATTTTTTCTTTTAAAATAATTCAAACGAAAATAAATTTATAAGAAAGAATAACTGCCTATTCAACTGCATAGTCTGTCCTTTTCATATTTAACACACTTTCTCATACTCTGTCACTTTTAGTTTTCCTCTTTATAAAACTTATTCAGAGTTCTCGATCGAAAAGAAGAAAAAAAAGTTTCTAAAATGTCTAATGTTGTCGATATTGCATGTTTGGATACTTACAAAACATGGTGGTTAATATCTGTCAAGGTTGTCAGGTTCTGGAAGCATTCAATATTCTTTGGAAATACTATCGATATGGTTTTGTCTGATATCAAAGTATGTGTCTTTTTTGAAGTTATTCTTTTATGTTTTCTGTTTATTATTCAATGATTTTTTTTGGCTGTGTTATTTTTCTATGGTACTCGGATCGCTGCAACCATTATGCCAAACGAGTTTCCCACTCGCTGGAAAGAAATCAAACAGGGACAGTGGATTCGGATTTTCAACTTTCATGTTAAAGAAGCTACTGGATCAATGCTTACAACGATCAATAAACATCGTTTGCAGTTAACTTCTGTCACTATTATCACCCCTATTCGAACAAGGTCGTACAATTTGTATCTCCATTGCTTCCGATTTTATGATATTGTGGATCGAGCATTTCCTTTTGACTATCTGATTGGTAAGACATCTTTAACTTTTTATAAGAATTAATCAAGTTTATCGGTGTGCATGATAATTTCTAAACATATATGTTAAGTTTTGTAATAGATTTAAATTCAATTTATTATTTCGTTTATTATCAGACGTTATGGGAACTATTGTGAATATGGGTCCACTCTGCAATGCAAGTAATGATGCTTATGAAGAAAATCTCGCTTATCTCCGATTTGAGATAGTAGATGCACGGTATTATGGATCATGTCCATTGATTTATATGTAAAAGACTGTTAACATATAAAGTCTTAACCAAATATTTTAATTTTCGTATTATTTTTTCTTGTGGCAGAAGAGAAGGTCGGTTAGCATGTTACGCCCGTGGTTCTCTAGCAATAAATCTCCATGATGTATATCTGAGAAACACATGTGAATCGGTTGTCTCGGTGTTAAGGTTCTGGAAGATGACAAATGGCCAAGGTATATACATATTTCCTCATATATGTCTTAAAATCTGAATGTTGAATAAAACTTTTGTCTATTGTTGTTTAGGAGTCGATAAGAAGTCTGTGGTTCTCCAATCTAATGATCTATGCTCAGATTTTTTGTACAATCATATCGATGCAGAAGTTGATGCATTTAGAACGACGTGAGTATTTAAAATTTTGGGGTCTATATATATTATTGTTTTAATGTTTATTAAAACGTTTTGGTAATGACTTTTTATCACTTTCGTAGGCAGAACCAACTACGGATGAGAGCATCGACTGTTTGATGTTATTTGTAGACTTCCTCTATTCTGCCTCTCTATTTACATTGTTTCTTCTTTGTGTTCTCGAACTCATTACTTAGTAATTTTATGTCTGCTTTTAAAACTAAGATCAGTGCTTTTGTTTAATACTTTCTTATTGTTTATATATTAATTTTGTGATGTATTATCAAACTATATTTTATGAATTATATGTGTTTTATATAGATCATATTGTTAGGTTCGATGTCAGGCTATGTCCTCTTTATAAGATTTATGTGGCTTTTGTTATGGAAAATATTTACATTATTTTTGGTATAGTCAGAGTAATTGCCTAAAGTAAACATACTTTAGATCAGGATACTTGCCTAAAATAAACATATTAGGAAATATATATATACTTCGACTATTTGTCACAGGAAAACGTACTGACTGTCGTCATAAATTTTCAATAGACTTCTAACTATAATTGTCTTTTCCAAGACCTCATAAAAAAACTTTAATGATCGTGATAGTAAAGATATTCTACGATATGGACCCAATCGTGTTTAGTCTTTATGGTTTTTCAGGAAAATCGAAATCAGTAATATTTTTGTAGAGATTTAGATTCGTTTAATGTTTAGATGTTTATTTGCTTAATAATATCTGGTATACCTATATCAATAATATTAAATCATGATTGATTAATGGGTCCAGTATATATACATTTTTAGCTACCTTAATAACCAAATTATATTCGGATATCGAAATAATAATAAAAAATAATAATACAATCATGAATTCCTTAATTTAACAATGATTTATCGGTATGAAAACATTAATATACACATATGTTTTGTCTTCGAATTAAAACAAATTTTTAAATCATATAGAAAGAAGATATACATATATAGATTGTGTTTTGTTATATTTTTTAAAAATTATAAAGTTATAGATAATTTGTTTTTTAGTGGTTGTGATCATATTGTATTTATATTTAATATATATGTATATATATATATATATAACGGATAATGGAAATCGTTTTAAATGACTCGGTTCAAGTAAACGGTTTCTAATGAATCGTCATCATTATGTAATAATATTTTAAAAAACTTAACGTGTATATATAGATGATCTGATAAAGACTCGATGCGACAGAACATAACTACTTTTTGATATTTTATTCTCTCTAAACATCTGACAAACATGGGTAGTTATGATTTGGTTCATGAGATGAATGGATGGAGAGATGACTGGAGGATTGTTGTTAAAGTTTGAAAAAGTGGAGCGTGAACGATCCACAGGGATTACCAGGTCTTGGCTTCATTATAACCGATGAGAACGTTAGTTTTATTATAAACTAAACTCTTTAGTATTGAATCTCTGATTCTGTATATTTCTTTATTGTTTCTATAATTTCTATATTTTTTTCTTATATTGTAGGGATGCCGAATTCAGGCAATTGTTCACAATCAGATGTTCGAGTATTTCGAACGAGTTTGCCATGAAGGTCACTGGATTATGTTATCTTGGTTTAGTCTCAACCGATTGCTTAGTAATGATTGCGATAAGATAACTAGACACGATTTTATGATTACTCTGACTGACGACACAAAGGTCTCACGTATAATACCAATATCTAATAAGGCATTCCTCAGTTTCGTACAATTTTCACAGATTATCAATAATCTTTTCGCTCATGAGTATCCTATTGGTTAGTATAATCATATATTGTTTATTTGTGTATTTGTTTTTTTTTTTTTTGAAAAATTCGCTGTAGTTTTATTGATATGTGTGTTTATTCAGATTTGATTGGTGTACTTGACATTGTAAGAGATCTCATACCAGTTGTGCAGACAGATGGAAAAATTGTCCTGACACTTCGTTTTCGTCTTAAAAACAATGAGTAAGCGCATTCTTTTTATTTTCTATTGCTTATTGTTATGATAATTTAGTTTTACAATAACTCTATTATGTAATTTGAAGGGATAATACATTGGAATGTATCGCACATGGCTCATTAGCATCTTACATAAAGGAACAATGCATAGGATATGATGGTCCATTTGACGTCTGTGTTTTAACCGATTGGTGTGTTACGAGAACTGAAGGTATACCTTTTAATTTGATATAACTCTAAACAATTTGAATTTTTAGATATTATCCTGCGTATTGATTCTTTTTTATTAGAAGAAATTACTATCCAAAATCACAAAGAAGAAGGTCTTTCGCGTTTCATGACTGCTCCTGGAATGGATGAAGTATCTGAATTTCGGGCAAAGTCAGATAATTATTATGACATTAACATATATTCTTTACTATATATTCCCTTAATATAGTTTTTTTTTGTAGTACTATATTGTTTACATATATTCTTAAATATTAATTTCAGGATTTGGGTGAAAATACGAAACGAAGTGCAAGGAAACAATTCTTTTTTTAGATATGTACTAGCTATAATTTATATTTTTATTATTATCTTTGTTATCGTTTTTTTTTTGTTTTTGGTTATTGATTTTATCATGTTCTACTAAACACTATGTTTTATAAATAATATGATTTTGTAGCATCTATGAAAGAAAAAATAAAAATCTAGAAACAGTTGTTTTGTTTGTTCACTGAAGAAATAATTACTTGGTTGAATTTACGCGTTCTTGAACACGATAACAAGTCACCATCTTTAAAATATATATGTAGATGTTTATGATTTAGCTAATATAATTTTTCTTTACAATAAAATTGTCATTTAAAATATATAGATGGTGTTATAGTAAACAATTTTAAGAATTGGTAACAATGAGAATTGGAATATTAACATAATTTTAAATAGAAAAACCTCAATATATATATATATATATATCTATCTATTTATTTTACTCGAAGATAATATTATTTCCTTATCGATATTTATCCTCAAATGTTAATATTCTTAATTTTCGGTTATAGATTAATATAAAATCACATTTTTTTCTTATAAATATACTCTAAATTGCATAACCCTAAACGATAGTCATCACGCAATGGCGGATTATGACTTTGTTCGTCAATTGGACTCTCAAAGATCTGACTGGAGAATTATAGTGAAGATACTCAAAAAATGGATGGTGGATTACTTGGACGATAATCGAAGTCTAAATTTCATTATGGTCGATGAAAGAGTAAATTTCATTAACTATAATGGTATTTGTGATATTTATTATTGGTTATGCTTATTATTTTAACATACACTAATTTGTTTTTTTGTTGTTCTAATGTTATCGTATAAACTTCTAGGGTTGTAGAATACAGGCTCGGGTAAACAATCAGATGATGGAGCATTTCAATCAAATATGCGAAGAAGATCAATGGTTTATGTTGACTGGATTTCTTTTGAATCCTTACAGTTGGACTAATATCCAAAGTATTACAAAACACGATTACGTTATTACACTGACAAAAGGAACAACGATTTCACCAGCTTTACCATTAACAAATAATTCGTTCTATAATTTTGTATCATTCCTCTCGATTTATGAATTCCCAGATGCTCATTATTATCTAATTGGTAAGAATATTTTGGTATCTTCTTATAATGCAAAATTTATAGTTCGCACTAATGTCTTTATTTTGACTAATTACAATCGCAGATTTGATTGGAGTCGTCGAAGATGCTAGATATTTTACTATTACATACCCGGATGGAACGACTTCATCATCAATTCGATTTAATATAATAGATGATGACTAAGTATATCTCAAACTATATGTTTTTTAAGTTTAACTAACTAATTATTAACTACATTCTTTGTCAAAATATAGGGTGTATATGCTAGATTGTGTTGCACACGGTGAGTTGGCAACTGAAATAAGAGATAAGTGGAGAGAATACGAAGGTCCCTTTGCTATATATGTGTTAACTGATTGGTGTGTAGCAATTGACGGGGGTATGTTCTGTGATGATACATCAATATGTTATTTATAAAAGGGAGAGTTTCAGATTTAACCCATATTTCAAAGTCAAACACCAAACTAACCTCTTTTTTTTCTCTCTCCAACTTTTGCCATTTTCTCACAATTTTATCCTTCCCACTTAAACTATTAACGAAAATGCCATTATACATCTATTATTTCGATTTTTCTTTAATTAGGCTAAAGTTTTCTTGGACCTTCTAAAGACCTTTTAATTACAAGAATGTCATCTTCTTCAATTTCTTCAACCACCATGAACAACCATGAAAATGGAATAAATGCTTCTCAACCAATTTTAAAGTTGTAATAAGTAAATATTTAAGCTCATTCACTCATAACCTTCCTCATTCTTTCATAATTTCTTCTCCAAAACATCTGGGCTAAGTTACAATGCCAAAAGTCATGCATTTTCGGTGATTTCTGGTTACTTGACATCTGGGTTGCTTATTTTTGGTAAAATCCTGAGTTCTGGGTGCTTAAAAGAACTGTAGCCGAGCTCAATTTTATAAAAGGTAATCGTCGCACTTCAATTTCTCCATATTTCAGTTTTCATATCGCGAAAGTAGACTTCTCGTGAAGTATACTGAAGTCTACTAGTCAACATAAGGTTATTTTTGCAATTGACTTTTTAAAAGTAGACTTCATTAAACCTCACGAGAAGTCTATTCGATATCCTTTGAAAACAAAAAAAAAAGCATAGTAGACTTCATTTGAAGGCTTAAGAAGTCTATGAAAGAAAAGAGGTTATTTTTGTAGTTGACCGTATTTTGACTTTTTAATGTAGACTTCTTTCTAAAGTCTACTATTTACGTCTGCACAAGAAGTCTACTTTTAAGTTACTTTTGTAGTTTGACCAAAAACATATAGGTCATTTTAGTGTTTGACTAAAGTTTTTTAAAAGATAAAAAATTCAGAAAACTCCGAAAAGCTGCAGTAGACTTCAGAAAGAAATCTAAAAACTGTAGACTTCTTTGGGAAGTCTACTTATATTTTTCGGTCAAACTTAGAAGGAATCTTTTTTTGAGTAGACTTCACAGTGAAGTCTATTAAAGATAGTCAATTGCAAAAATAACCTATTTTTTCCGTAGACTTCTATTGAAAAAGTAGACTTCAAAAGTAGACTGTCAGAGAAGTCTACTCTTACATGAAGTCTACAATAGAAGTCTACTTTGTTAGTCAATGGCTTGGTCAAATGCTAAAGTAACCTTTTTGGCCGGAAGTCTACTTCTGAAGTCTACTGAAAGAAAAGTCAATGGATTGGTCAATTGCAAAAATAACCTGTTTTTTAGTAGATTTCTTTAGTAGACTTCACTATGAAAAAGTAGACTTCTCCTCCAGTCTACGTTTGAAGTCTGCTTTAGAAGTCTACTTATTGCAGTTTTTTTAAAAACGCGTTTTAGGCAAATTTATAAAGTATTTTTTTTATTTTTTTGGATTAGAATTGCTTCTTAGTAAGTGATTGAACTACACAGTGAATTTTATTTTATTTCATTTGATATTTATTGTTGAATCAGAAGATTCGATTTTTAAGCTACTTAGCTTATCAAAGTAGACTTCGTCTGAAATCTACTAAGGAAGTCTAATTAGGAAGTCTACTAGCTAATTAGGAAGTCTAATTAGGAAGTCTACTAGCTAATTAGGAAGTCTAATTAGGAAGTCTACTAAGGAAGTCTAATTAGGAAGTTATATTGTGCTTTGTAATTATGTTTGCTAATGTGGTTTTTATGTTTTTTTACAAAACTAACTATGAATTTAATATGTTTGTGTTATAATTATAGTTAAATTTTTCTTGTTTTAGTAGGCTTACAAAAATTTCCACCAATTCAGTTTTTTTTACACATTGTACCTTTAGAGAATTTACTGATATGGTGAATAAAAAGTCTGAGTTGGTGGTGTTAACTTACTTACTCACTACCAGATTCAAACATATTTTCTTTTGGCTCTAAGAAAATTGTTGTTGAACTTTTATTTTAGAAGAAGCAATAAAACTCTTTGATGAATTTTTTTATTGTTAAAACAGAATTCTGTAAAATCTTTATTTTTTGTTGTTTACATCAGAATTTTAAAAGAGTGTTAACAACATTTTATTGTAAATCACAAGTTAACTATACAAAGTAGTTTTTTGATTACAAGATCTGATGGAACTGAGTTTAGTCAACCAATGAGATATAATTTCTTACATCAGTAGACAATAAAACTTTATTAAAATTACTACATATTTTCAGACAAAACAAATTGCAACCTAAGTTCCTTGCTAAGGGTATCAAGCTTTCTGATTGTAGTAATCCTTTCCCAAGCGTGGAATGATCAAACAAAAAGAACATGTTTCAGATCAGACCAGACTCTGCTGCTGCTGCTGCTACTGCAGCTACACTCATGTACGCCATTGCCTGCTCATTCACAACATAAGATTCCTTAAATTCCCAATAAGAACTCTCTCTTGTGCAACAAAGCTATTTGAACAATGCAATATCAGATTTTAGATTAAAAGTACATCTAAGTACATCTAAAAACAATGCAATGGCGAGTTTTCTTGATCATTAGGAGTTGACTTCAAGGGTTCTGCTTTTACTTGGTCATATAAGACCTATTAAAAAGGACCACGATGAACACAAAAGAGAGACAAAAAAATTCCACATCATAGAAAACTAATTGATTATCAATTTAGCAATTTAGCATAATCACATGATTTCAGAACATGGAAATCAAATTCAAGCTATACCTTCTCTAATCTTTTGTGAATAGTGTCAAAAAGCTAGTAACTTCATTAACATTCACAAGCCCTCACACACCAAAACCGAACCAGAAACCTTCTTGTTAGCCGCAGTCCTCTGCTGTTGTATAAAGAGAGTCTCATCCCCGCCTTGAGTAGCCAATATAGTGAAACCTTTTCTGCAAATATAGCAAATATAGTTATAACTGAGGCTAAATTGAGATAAGTGACACTTAGCTGACACAATAAAGCGATTGGAAAAGAAAATAGTGTGGTATTAGCCTGAGAAACCAGATCTACAACACAACCAGATCTTTAGAGGGTTTCGAAAATCAATGGATCATCTTCTACCTTAGCTAGTCGAGATCCATTTCCAGGTGCGACTGACTCAATCTCCGAGTCAACTTGAAGGAACGAGTTGAACAAAGCCCTCTTCCACATCTCCTGCCACCTGTCTCCGTCGCAGAGCATTTGTTTCTCTTTGGATATCTCCTCTGCTAAAGCCAAATGCATCCTCTCTCTGCATATTTGGAAAAACCGAAGTTCTCGTTGAATCTGAAAACAGCAGAGGAGAAGCGCTGAGCGCCGTTTGAGAGAGAGATTGTGAGTTTTTTTTTGGGACAAAATTAGGGTTACATGTCGTGAGTTAGGTATAAATTTTGGTTAGATTGGTTCACAATTATTGGTTCAATTTCGGTTTATGTTTTGATTAACATAATTATTTTCGACTTTTCTGGAAGGTAAATTTATCCGGTTACGAGAAATTTTTCTTGGTTAGAAAAAATTATTTCTGGTTCAATTTCGGTTTAAATTTCGGTTATGTTAATTTATTCGGTTTAGCAGACTTCAATATAGAAATCTACTAAGTTTAAAACCTAAATAATAGATTTTGTTCTTCTTAATTTAAAAACATAAATTTAAATTTATCAATATGAAAAAATAATTTATGTACATCTGGGTTACAATTACCTAATTTATGAATGTAATTTTGATACCAAAATAATTTTTTCTAAATTTTAAAATTAATTTTTTTGATTTAATTACTTAGTAGACTTCATTTCGATAAACGAAGTCTACTATTAGACTTCTTTCTCTCTTTAGTAGACTTCGTGAGGGTGTAAACGGTAATTAGGACATCCATTTTTTTGTTTAGTCATACATGATTAAATGGTCTTTTCACTACCACTTTTGGTTATTTCTGCCAAATGTTTTTTCAGGGGTCTACTTTTGTATTCAAAATCAAGTTTTATGTTATTTATAGCAAAAACCCCTTTATAAAATCGTTGTATATAACATAACAATATTCCAATATATATGTTTTAGAGAATGTGTCTATCAAGGATCATGATGATGATGGTGTGTCCCGTTTTATCACTGATTCACCTATTGATGAAGTTTTAACCTTGCGCAATAGGTAAGTATGTTTCTATGTGTTGTTTAAATTGACTTATGAAAAAAAATATTTTCATATATTTAGATCTACATGATTTTGTTATATTGAAATTTTAGGATTAGAGAGAGATTATATGGGCTGGATACAGATAATATCTAATAGATTGGGCCAATTAAAAGGATTCAAAATTGATAATCCATATATATTATTAGTTTTGTTAGACACTTTTTTTGTATTTACAAGGCTGTTTTGCGATTATTAATAAATAATAATTTATTCTAATTTGGGTTTAAATTACTCCTTATAGATATAATATACATTGTTTTGGGAAATTTACTACTGGAGTATGATTATGTGCTATCGTGAGTTGATTATTTATGAAGGATTGTCATTGGATAAAAATAACATTATTCTAATAAATTGGATTATAAACGATACTAAATATTTTTAATAATGTTCTGTCAAAAAATAGCGCGTGTTGGATTATTAAAAAGCATGTCAATAACATATATAACTGATTTGATTCTAAATATTTTTGATGTAAATGGTTTATTATGTTACACTTAAATTATATATCATCTGAGCCCAATATTTTTATACATCTTATGGGCCAAAAAAATTTGTGTTGTAACAAAAATTCGATTCTTCCTTTAACAGATAAACCGTGTTAACCAATAATCTATCTAGAATATTCATCATAAGTTGCAACTTTTCAAAAATGGAGCATTTTTAGTTTAAAAAATACGTAAAATGCACTAATTCACGCGACACTTTCCATAACCGTTATTTGGGTGTTAAATATATCCTCATTTCCTCATATCCATTGTTAAAAATAAACAACAAAGCAATCATTCTCCCCAACTGTTTCTTTGGCTTTATAAAAACATTATCCACATGACTACATATAACTTTGTTGATGAGTTACATGCATGGAGACGAGATTGGAAAATCCGTGTCAAAGTTTTGAAAAGATGGAATAAACCTGATCGTCAAGGCTTACCAGGGCTGAATTTCATTTTAGTCGACGAAAATGTAAGTATTATCTAATATGAATATATAACTGTTTTGTCTATATTTATTGTTTGTTTGATCTATTTGCAAATTTCATTGTATATAGGGTTGTAGAATTAATGCTTTATTTGGTAACCTCGCCTTTCCATATTTTTACCGTGTTGGGACCGAAGGACGATGGCTTGAATTGTCTAAATTCGACTTGATACCATCTGAATGGAAGAATGAGGGAAGAAAAACGAGACACAATTATCAGATCATTCTCACTACTAGGACAGAAGTCTCAAGTCTACGACCATTGACAATGGATCCCTTCATGAAATTTGTCCCTTTTAGTGAGATATACAGAATTCCTTATGCTCAGTTGTATCATGTTGGTAAGATTAACTTCTAATATTCATTTCAGTGATTTCATATATAAATTTGTACATATATAGAAAAAAAATAAATGAATTTCGTTTATGATAAATATTTCTCTCATAATTGATTTGTAGATCTCATTGGAGTGATGGAAAATGTTAGCGACATTGAAACAGAGAATAACTCTGATGGAGATATTATTCACAAAATAACTTTCACCATCACAGATCTCGAGTAAGTTTATATTTTCTCTCACGATCACTATGTCTTGGTAACAAAGTTTGTAACTTAAATTGTTCAAATCAAAGGGATGTGAAGTTGAAATGCATCGCATACGGGGATTTTGCCGCTGATATCAAAGAAAGAACCAAAGGATTCACTGGTCCTTTTGCGGTTTCTGTCTTAACCGATTGGAGTGTAAATAAAAAAGAAAGTATGGATAATCAAGCATATGTCATTATTATTTTTATTTTGTGCAATATATGTTTTATATTTATTTTGCATGTATATTTCTTAATAATAATTTTATACGTGTAGATGAAATAACTATCCATTCACATGAATCAATTGGTTTTTCCCGTCTTCTCCTTGATCCCACTACGGATGATGCCCTGATTTTTAAGAGAAAGTAAGTAATCTGAAAATTATAATTGGAGAGTTTTGTATATACAACAATCTTATAGTATGTATATGTCTCTTAAACCTCCAGGATTCAGGAGAGGTGGAGCACATTTTAGACACAAGACGGAAATATAACTTATAACAATACTTAATAGAGTAGTGTTCTATTAATTTCTTTTTATAAGTATTTATATAACTTAAAACTTGTGTGTTAGATCTTATTACATGATCTATTTTAGTATTTGTATGATTTAATTCTTTGTATAAGTATTTATATAACTTAAAACTTGTGTGTTGGATCTTATTATACAATATTTTAGTCTCAATTATTGAAAATAAAAATGTGATGTTTATGTTACAAGAATTTTAATAATCAAATTATAATAAGATTTATATGATGATTGTGTCCGCGCGACACGGGCAGATAGCTAGTAGTAAATTTATTTTCAGAGTAAACTAACTTTAGTATTTTGATTCTCAAGAACGATTATACAATAATAAGAAAAAAAATAGCAAGTATTTGAGCTTAGAGCTAAATTATTGTAAAGAGTGGTGTACAGAGTTGGATTCTGGTCCTTATTGTTTGTTTTTATCCTTGTTTTGTACTCTACATCGGGTTTAATGTTGATGTTTACTCCGCCATATCCACCATAAAATGGTATTCATTCTGAGGCTCCGGTGTGAATGAGTCTTTAGTTTCATCAAGATTGACTAACGGTTCTGTATTTAATCTCTTTTGACCGCAGACTTTCATTATAACGGATCTTTTGGCATGGCTCATCACTTCGTTTGCTCACTACTCCCGTTTGATTTCTTTAACTCCATCAGATCTTAGAACTTTCTTGATTTAGTTAACCCACTAAGATGACAATCCGATTTGTCACCATAGCATTCGGGGAGAGCCTCGCATTCAAGCATATTATCCCACATCGGCTCCAATTATTCAAAGTAATCTTGATCCAACTGCACTCTTCCTTGAAACTCGTAAGAGATGCCTGTAATTTGTGAACTCGTGGAACATTAACAATTAAGAACTGATCTTGATCAACTCCCTTGCCATAAAACAAAAGCACTTTTAGAACATGAGACATATGACCTAATTGGCGGATGAATGGCATTGAGAGTCCAAGAAACAAGCATAATATTAGGTGATTCCACAGATTTTAAATTGGGTGAATAATAGTGTTGTCAATGAAAGAAAGTTTGCTGTTGGAGTTAGTACTGAAGATCAGGACAAACATGGTTAAAGCAACAAGGTTCAAGACGTGGAGAGGAAGTAGTTTTGTCGCCTAAAAGAAAGCTCATATGACCGTACCGTTGCAGGGCCACAAGAAGTAGCTGTTTACTTTAGTTCATTAATGACAAAGCATGAGTTGTTTGTTGTGTCTCAGAAAAATGGCCCGTTTGGTTCAAGGGACAATAATCTCGAGGTGTCTACATGGATCAAGCAACAAAGAGCACTAGATCAAAGCATCAGCAGATATATAAATCTGAGAAGGACATTTTGAGAAGTAAGAAGGAAGAAGAGAGAAATATCATTTTCTGGTGTAAACTTGTTTATGTGTTTCTCTGTAAAGAAATGGTAGAGAGAAAAACATAGAAAAGCATTTGTAAGAAGGGGCTTTGGGTTTTTTGATCTCTTGTAACCCTTATTAATCTAGTGGATTCTGGGAGAGAGGTCCCGGTGAAACGTAGCGACCCATTTAATGGCGTGAACTTGTTAAACTCGATCGTGTCATACTTCTTCTTCGTTGCTCTGTTTTACTCCTCTGTTTTAAACAAGTCGCAGGTTTGTTCTAGTGTCAAGTTTTATACTTCCAGTAGAATCTTTGTTTCTTTGGTTTGTTCAAGTTTCTGAGTGTACAAAGCTGCTGTTTGTGCTCAGTTTCACAACAGATTGGTAGCAGAGCCAGGTTGCTCGGTGGTCATGGTTCTAGTCTGAGTTTTCAGTTGTAAAAGGAGCCATGTCGTTGTCAAAGGCATAGATTGAGAAGTTTGATGGACATGGAGACTACACACTGTGGAAAGACATGCTCTTGGCTAATCTAAACATGTTGGGTCTGAGTAAGTTTATGTATGATCCTAAGGATCTGAAAGGAAAGGCCTTAGATACAGATGTTGCAGGAGAAAAAGAGGAAGCTTTGGCAGAGAAAAGGAATCAAGCTCGAAGTGCTATCATTTTGAGTATTACAGATAGGATTCTGAGAAAGGTTAGAAAGCAAGAAACAGCTGCTGCGATGCTGGAAGCTATGGACAAG